AAAAAAAAAAAAAAAAAAAAAAAAAAAAAAAAAAAAAAAAGAAGCTATTTCTTGAGAACTTGAGCCAGAGGGAGGGCCTCCCCCCAGATAGATGGGCTAAGCGTGTACCCCCGCAGCATAGCCCAAAGAAAGCCAGAACAAAATGCAATCACCAGCAGGGATTTCGACTTCCAAGATTGCTAGGTGACGGTGTCCTGAGTGGGGGGAGGAAGCAATCACAAGTACTCCCTGGGAGAACTAGATTGGAACAAAAATCTAAACTCCAGCAACCTTGGAAATGCAATCAGATAAACCCAATGCAACTCCCAGGTGGCACCACACACAGGCCTGTGTACCAAGGTCCCACTGTGCGTGCCTTGCACACCAAGACCCCCCACTGTGTGCTGGCCAGGAAGCACCTGTGCCTGGCCCCAGCAAACTGTCCAGCTTGCCCTGAGAACAGCAGCACCAGTCAGACCAGGCCTCAAGTGAAAAGACGGTTTTCAGAGAGGGTGACACCGCACTCCAGGCCACAGAAGGGCTTGAGGTGACTCGCAGCCCCAGCACACCCGGCTACCATCCAAACGTAACTACAGTTCGTGTGTCCGAGGCCTGTAGGCAAGCATCCGCTGGCACAGAGCTGGCTAACACGTTGGCAGTACAAACTTAACAAATCTTAATTATTCTGTTTATGCAAACAAACAGGCTGAAGCTGCTGACGTAGCTGGATGGCTTGAGGCCTGGAGAGAGCAAGGAAGTGTGGAGAACCAGCCACACATAAATCATCAGCCCGACAGTGGGCGTCTTTCTTCCCGGCCGGCTGAATATAATATATGGAATGTTTTAAAGTTGGTGAGAGTACAGCCTCTGCAGAAGGCTCTTCTGTTCTACCTGGCTGGCCTCTGTGTGTGCGTGCGTGTGTTGTGCACGTGTGTGTCCACATGTGTATGTATTGGTGTGCACAAATATGCATGTGTGTGCATATATGTACACATGTATATGGAGTCATATTTGCACATACTTAGCCATCTAAATAACAATATGAGAACCGAGTTTGGGCCTTGAATGGCCCACTGAGACTCATGAGTTAAAGGGCCAATTCCCCCTACACACATACCCCCTCCCGGTAGTGCTATTTGGAGGTGTCAAATCCTTAAGAGCCTGGGCTGCAGATGGCTTGGCTGTTAAGAGCACCGTCTCCTCTTGCAGAGGACCTGGGTCCAATTCCCAGCACGCATACAGCAGCTCACAACTGCAACTCCAGTTCCAGGGGATCTGATGCCCTTTTCTGGCCTCTATAGGCACTTGCATGCAAGTAGCACACAGCCATACATGCAGGTGAAACACTCAAACACATAAAATAAATAATCATCATAAAATGAAAGACGTGCAGCCTAGAGGACGGTCCCAAGTCCTTGAAGACTGTGGGATGAAACCTGGTCTTCTCTTTTTTTGCTTCCTGGCTGTGAGGTGGGTGGGGATTTTTGTTTTGTTTTGTTTTGTTTTCTGCCATCATGAGCTACTTCACTATAGGCCCAAAACAACCTGGACAAGTGACCCTGGATGGGAAACTCTAAAAGCTGTGAGCCAAATAACCCTCCCCCACCTCTTTATAAGCTGATTTCCTGAAGCATTTTATAACAGTAACCGAAAGCTGACTAACACAAGACCTCTGTGTCACTGCTCTTTCTGATATTGAAAGAAGTAGGGACCCATGTCGTCTGACATCTGAGGCCCTCATACACACAGCAATTGAGAGCCTACTGTGTGCCAGTTGTTTGGAAGGAAACTTTTCCTGGCTTTAATTCAGTAGACTAATGTCCTTCATTGGAAGATCATGGTCGAGTTGTAAAAAAACAAACAAAACAAACAAACAAACAAAAAAACAGTTCTCAAAGTGTGGTCCCTGACCACTTCCTGAAGTGTGAGCAATACCTGGGAATGTGTCAGAAACACAGATTCACGGACTGTCCAGACCAATGGCTCAGAAGCTCTGTGAGGCTGAAAAGCAGCCATCTGGGTTCCCAAACCACATAGAACCTTCTAGATTGTGTACAGAATGATGGCTCACATCCCCTGGCTGTAGCTCAGCAGGGCTATTTGGTGAGCCTCAAGGCTATTAGCACTCGTGGGTGCTGCCCCTCAGGGGCCCCTGATCCAGAGACCGCCAAGCCCCAGCTCCACGCAGATGCTCCTCCCACTTGGCACCCAGGCAGGCGCACACCCTTTAGGATGGCACACTGCCACTCTTGTTGGTTGATGGGCTCTGAGCACCTTAAACAACATTCGGCACAAGGTCAGCAATGACTCGGTACTGACAGAATAAATGAATGCGTAAAGGAAGACACAGTCAGTGGGCACCATGGCTGCCGGGGATCTTTCTGACAGAGGTACAACCCATGGCCCAGGTGTCATGTCACAGCTAGGAGTGTGATCCAGCACAACACTTCAAACTTACCTAAAACATTGTAAGTTAAAAAAAAAAAAAAAAACTCTTTGCAGCTTTGTAGAAGATAATGTTATGTGAAAAGGTAGGATACCCCCGATAACTCTGGCCTAGGCTGCATGGATGGGCACTCCCAGCCATGGAGGGGCTTAAAGTGCAGCAAATACAAACAGAGTGAATGCTGCTCTTGGGACTCCCATCGTCCACCAGGGGCCACCAGGCCAGGCAGCATGGGTCACATGCCCTTTCCTTACACCTCCACACTCCACGAGGTAAGGTCCCCACCATTCTGGACTAGGGGGAATCATGGGTGAAACACATCTGCCTCAGTATGTTCTGATTTCACACGGGTCTTCAAAACCAATTCACGGAGTAAATTAAGCCAACACTGATATTTCCACTTCACACACGGGGAAGGGAGCCCTAAGGTAAGGTGATTTGTCTGAGGTCACAAAGCTAGCTGCGGGGACCAGGGTGCAGCATGGGTCTCCTGAAGCTGCCAGGGGCCGGGGATGGAGCCGGGGAGCCTGGGATGCAGACTCCGAGGGATGAGAGTTTTAAAGCGACTCCAGGTCCTTTGAACCAGAGTTTGCTGGGGGCTGGTGTCATCACGGTCGATGTTTGGTAAGAAAACAAGGGCAGCAGTGGGGAAAGCAAGGGTCAGGATTGAGGAGACCCTCCGAGCCCCAGGGAGGCCTCCAGGGCAACACTTGAAAGCCTAAAGCACTGGGTATAGAAGATTGAGGATGTGAAGACCAGACAGCAGCCATGTACCTGGTAGACACATCCATCCACTCTTCATGACATCCCACTCCCCACCATGGGGGCTACTTGATGTCAAGGGCAGGGTGCAGTGAGATGCTCTACCTGGCCGAAACTGAAAATGTCCTCACAGGCTCATGGTTTTGACTGTCTGGTCCCTGTTATAATAGCTGGTGAACCGTATGTGAGGGGCAGGATTGTAGAGACTGTGGGAGTTGAGGCCTGGCTGGCTGAAAGTTATACCAGGTCCCAATTTCTCCTTCTCCCTCTTCCCTCCCTTCTTCCCTCCCCTCCCACTTTTCTTCTCCCTTCCTTCCCGATTGGTCAGGAAGTGACCCCCTGCCACAGGCTCCCATTGCAATGACATTCTGCCCATGAGTCCTGAATACTGTGGCTGTACTCCCGGAGGCCCTGGGCCAAAGCAAATCTCTTCTCAAGTTTTTTGTTTTTTGTGTTTTTGTTTTCCTGTTGGGTAGCTGGGCACAGCACTGGGAAGGGATCTGAGACCACTAAGCACCAGTCCCGGCACACAGGGCCTGAGCAGTAGAGGTGCCATGTGGAGTTCAGGACCGGGTACAAGAAGAGCCACAGCGTCTCAGTGGGCATCAGTGGAAAGGTGTCTGGTAGAGCAAAGGGCTCCACCACCCCTTTCTAAAGTGGCCCCTGGGGCCAAAGAGGCCACATGATCCATTTTGCCCAGAACAGTGCAGGCTCCTGGGTCAGTCTGGTTTACACCCGCTGTCCCAGGTATGATCAGAGGAGCATTCAGTCACTCTCCGGTGTGTCCTGGGGCCCTCTTCTATATGTCATGCCAAGGCTGAGTCATTTACACACGCTTGTCAATCCCTCCCTGAGCCCGGGGCTTCTGAGAACACAAACCTCTGGGCCCAACCAATTACACAAAAGAAAAGAAAAAGTTGATTTTCTATCCATGCTCTCCAGATCTCATGGAAGATTCTAGAAAATCTAGGCACCCTGCCCCAGAACCATAGGCCTTGCAGCTTTGCACATTCTCTGCCCTCTGGCTGTGTGGAGCAGATGGCAGACACATACCTTTTGGAATGCAGTCCGCTCCCCTGGAGAACTCTGCGTCTGTTATTTTAGGAAGGGGGAAGAAATGAGTAAAAATCAGTTAGGTGCGTAAAACTTAAACCCGAGCAGAACCCGTAACAGAATATTCATTTTGTCAGGGGAGCATTTCATTCAAACTGCCGGTCATCTGGAGAGCCTGCGCCAGCAGGGGACTCCATTTAATGAGCTTTTTAACACACTTCAGGGCCAGGTGGCACTGTCTGGATGGGCTTGGCCCAGGCTGGGGATGTGGTTTTATGTGGCTTGGGCTGGGCTGACACCTAGTGGCCAATCTGGCAATTGCAGGGCCAGAAAAGCCCGGAACGCCCCCAGGCTGTGGCTTCTGGATTCTGAGGCCTGAAAGGACGGTGGATGGTCATCTTACCTACTCCTTCTTGGGCCCAGGAAACTTAACTTCTTTGTCTCACTTTGTCATTAGTCTGGAGGGAAGGATGCCCCTCTCCTATATAACCATTAGGAGTCCAGAGTGCCTCCTAGGGGTGGCTTTGCATAGGAGACAGGAAGTCCAGGAGATAAAAGGGCTAGCTATGTCAAGGTCAGAGGAAGCAAGGAGCTGAGTCCTTGTATCCCTATAGAGCACCATACCCCAAGAATGGAACAGAATGTTGCCTCTTCCGGTGAAGAGCTATGTGACCAGAGCTTCTAGCTTTGAGGTTAGGGGTGGGGCTCAGCTAACCCCTCTGGAGGCTGGGGTACAGCTATCCCAGCAGAAGGTGCCTCTAGAAACAAATAGGAAATGACATAAACTGTGACATGGGGTGGGGGAAACAAGAGATCCTTGCATACTAAGCAAGAATCACTGTTCTTAGTCACAGGCCTCCAGCCCCAGTGGGAGGGAAGATGGACAAATATCACTTAAGTCAAAAGCCTGAGACACGAGAGTGCCCCTCTCTTCCTTTGAGCAGTCACAATGGCCTGGCATATGGACACATAGCGATGGATGTACATAGATCCAGCTCTGTCTCCCTGAGACATGGCTGCCTCCTGGGACCCCAACTTCTACCTCTAGCACCTACCAGCAGGTGGCCAGAGTCCTTGAGCTTAGACTTGTACAGCATCCAACGGTAGCGGAGATCTTCCAGCTCATTGGAAGGGTCCCTTGCTGGCCTGAGACGAAGCAGGCTTTCAAAGAGATGCTGGCCTTCTGGAATCCGAGCCTCCAGCTCCTGAGAGAGAAGGCAGCATCATGCCACAGCTACCCAACGGCTCAAGAACCCCACCCGGTTGGAAAGGAGGTACCAATCAAGTATCACCCAAGGCATGCTGGGAGATGTGGACAGGACCAGTAACATGAGACTCTCACCCGTAGAAGGGTTTTTTGTTTGTTTGTTTGTTTGTTTGTTTGTTTGTTTTATGTTTTGGGAGCAAGTAAGATGGCTCAATGGTTAAGAGGCTGCTCTTGCAGAGGACCTGGGTTCAATTCTCAACACCCAAATATTGGCTTATAACTATTTTTAACTTTAGTCCCAAGGAATCTGATGTCCAATTCTGGTCTCCAAAGGCACCAGGCATACATGCGGTATACCAACATACATGCAGGTTAAACACTCATACACATAAAATAAATAAATACTCTGTTAAAAATCAGTCTTAGAAGCGTTTATCTTATGTGTATTAGCATTTTGCCTGCGTGCATCTATGTGCAACATGGGTGGGCCTGGTGCCTACAGAGATCAGAAGAGGGCGCCAGATCTCTTGGAACTGGAGTTATGGTTGCTTGGGGATGCAGGGAACTGAACCCAGATCCTCTGTGAGAGCAGCAAGTGTTCTTAACTGCTGAGCCATCTTTCCAGCCTTCATCCAGGCGTCCAGAATGCTAGAGAACTCCCACCATGTGGAAGGGCAGTAGGAAGGCTGACCACAGTGGTTACTTCCAACTGCGACATGCTGGGACCATGAGAGGTGCGTCACAGCCTGTCCCCGTCATAAAGTGATCACCAAGGAGCATGCCACTCTGCTGGCATTTCTAAGACTGGCAGAGTTGGGTAGGTCTTTTCTAAGTAGAACACAGCTCTCCCCTAGGGTGATACTTCCTCTTTCTGTGAGCGCTGAGAGGTGCTGTGATGTGTGGTGGATGGGGGGGGGGGGTTTACAGGCTGGAGCCTAGGCTTCAGTCCCTGGCTAAGTTTCTCAGAACCCACCACAGTGCAGGCTGGACAAGAAGTCATTTTCATGACTGGAGTGGAGAGTGGGCTGGTGGGAGTTGGGGGCAGGGGAAAGAGGCTTGCTGGTGATATGGAGCTCCGCCATCAGCAGGATGAGCCATACCTTGAGAACACAGCTCAACACTTAAAGCCATCGATGCACTAGCAAACAAGGCAGACTAGTCGAGACCAATCTGAGGCAAGGGGGTGGAAATACAGTTCCATGGCAGAGCATCTGCCTAGCATGTCTGAGGCCCTGGGTTTGAGCCACAGCACTACAAACACAATGAAACCAGCACAGAAGCCCTAGGGATGGACAAGAACCCTGAGAAGTGAGGCCTCTGTCCAGACCTCCTTCTGCTCTTAGGATCTTTGCTAACCTGAGGGGGAGATAATACCAGTTTTGAAAATGATCTATGTTTCCACAGCCTCCTAAGGGTAAGGTGATGAAAGTCAAAGCCTGGCTCAGCAGAGGCAGGGGCTTGGAGGTCATTCCCTTTGTAGATGAGATGCCTGCAGACTTATTCTGGGAGTACAGGGAGCCATAAGTGAATCTGGGCCTTAAGTGTACTTAAAGCCTAGCTCCAGATCGTCTTAGTGGTTCTTGAACTTTGACTCAGTGGTCTCATAAAGCCCCCACTTTTTGGCAATAGCAAACAAAATCATCTCTGGAGAAAGAGATTATCCTAAGTCCCAAATTAGGCTTATGTACATTTTGCCCAGGACAAAAGGTAGCCACAATATACAACACCAAGAAAGAGGAGTAAAAATATATAACAGAAATGTTCCTAAGTACCTGGAGATATAAGAATTACTAGACAGTGCAATTATGGTGGGTTGCAGTTCAAAGAATTAGAAGACAAGCTTGGATAAGGGTGTGATGGAAGCCAGAGAATGTAACCAGCCACACCAAGAAGAACCATACTGAAGTTCTAAACTGATCATTATGGCAACCAAAGTTAAGACCTTGGGAGGCATATGTGATAGCAAATTAGACACAGTTAAAAAGAGAACTAGTCAAACAGAAGATAAGTTAGGAAAAAGTATTCAGAATTCAACACTGAGTCAAGGGTGAAAATACACATAAACAGGGACAAAAATACACAGTGGGGGGAATGCAGATTTCAATGACATTTAAGAAAAACCTATCAAGGCAAAGGTAGCAGTTTAAGAGATATTGTCAGATATATCCCATAAAAGTCCTCCACCACAAATGCAGTTCAAATGATTGCCAAGCAGGATAAAAAGAAGAAATTTGGACCCTAACATATGACTGAGATTTCATACAAACAAAGGAAAGATAGAACTGTACTTTATTAGAGAGGCCTTGTACAATGACTTAGGTCATTAAACTCCACATTAAATGTTTTCTTCAGGAGGTCAAGGTCAGATCAGTTGAGTCATGGCTGCCTGCAGAAGGAGCCATGCCCTGGGTGTGGGTCCACCAGAAGAAAAGGCCAAGGAGGAAGCTGCTGCCACAATCAGGTGAACAGTAAATGTAGAGGGGACAGAAACATCCAGGAAGTAGACTGGAGAAGGGTTTGGTGACTGCTATAGCTGTTCCTCCGCAAACTCATGTTGACAATGTTGGGAGATAGGATCTTTGAGAGATGACCAGTCCCAAGGGTGGGGTTAATGACCCTCAGGAGTGGGACTAATACTGTCACCAAAAAGGCCTTTTTTAGAATCCCTTTGCTTCTTTGTGCTTACCCCATCTTTTGACCACATGATAAAACAACAAGGAAGCCTTGCAAGGTTGTGGTATTTGGACTTTCTAGCCTTTGGAATGGCAAAATTCCTGTTTGTTATAAATTACTCACTCTGGAGTATTTCATTACAGCAGCAGACACAGACCAAGACAGTGACCAGTGACCAGATGGCATGAGGAGAGAGCAGTTGTGGTTGACTGAATACACGCTTCTGATTCCCCGCCCCCAACCCCACCCTGCCTATACCTGTACATCAAGTGAAGTCTCTTTTCTTGAATCTTGGATGGACTGCTGACTTTCTTTGCACCACACAACACAGAAGAATCCGTGTGACACTAGCATGTAACTCTAAGCATGCTAGTTCCCAGTCTAGGCATCCAAGGGCCTTGCCTGTTCCCACATGCTTCCTCACACTCTGCAGCCACCTGGTGCAGTGTGGGCTGTCTCACACAACGATGAGACATGCATGGTCCCTGTCAAGTTCATATTTCCCGCCCTCCACCAGAGCTACCTAGCCGCCTCGCCTCACGTCTGACAAAAGATAAAGTTGCCAAGCAGATGTGTCTTGGAGTCCAGAACTGGCAGACACCAGGCTGAGCTCAAATCACCAAGTGTCAACATCGTGAGCTAAATTATAGCTGTTGTTTTAAGCAACTCGCTATCAGGGTGGTTGGTAACACAGTGGCAGCTAACTGATACTGGAGTCAAGTGACCAGCAGTGATATTTTTCAAACAGAGAAATATAAAATGGGATAGGATGGATACATACATACGTAAATGGAGGGTTGATGGATGCACGGATGGACAGATGCAAGGAAAAGCTAATTCTAAAGTATTTGAACCAAAATAAAATAAAAACCATTTCTTAGATTCGGGATGGCTCACAAACAAGTATTAAGTATGAACTCCTCCATCTGAGGAACTCCTGACGGCATGAAACACAGTGAGTGTTGATCCTTCAACAGACCTGCAGCTTCATCCCTCTGGTCCTCCGGTCTTTGGCTGTGGCTGTTCTCATTGTGAGGATTCTAAGCAGCTTGGTGTTTTCTGCCTGCAGCCACTCTTCGAAGTCCCTCAGGAGCCGGGAGCCATCTTCATGCAAGTCTTGTTCCTCCATCAGGTTTGCCTGCAGGAAGACATGCGACCAGATGTAGGAAGGGCCTGCCGGTCCTGTGTCCTGGGGACCCCACCAGCACCGAAGGGTGAAGATGAAGACAGGGGACCTGGAGGGCATGGGAAAGGCTCAGAGAGAGGAGTCCTCCATTCATTCACTTTTACGAGCCAAGAGCATCCCTCACCGTCATCTCTCTGGAGCTCCAGATGTCATCACCGTCCTTGACTGGGATGACTACCCAGTGGCCATCTTTCCTCCATTCTTGAGGAGACGTGGACACAGTGAAATGAAAGCCAGTCCCTTGGTGGTGCTTCACTCTTCCCTGATGGGGCTGAGGAGCCCTGGGTTCCCCTTCTACAGGCTCCTGAAGGTTGAACTGCCTCCCTCCTCCCCTCTTCCCCCTCCCTTTCCCTGCTGCAGCCTGCAGCTGCATCTCAGCACCTAGAACTTCAGCTCCCTCTCGGTCCCTGCATACACTGTCCCCCCTACTGAGAACACGCCTGTGGTGGTTTGAATGACAGCAGTCCCTCTAAGGTCATATATTTGAATGCTTGGTTCCCAGTTGGTAGAACTATTTGGGAAGAATTGGGAGTATAGCCTTGTGGGAGAAAGTGTGTCAATGGGGGTGGGCTCTGAGGTTCCAAAAGCCTGTGCCATTCCCTGTTAGCTCTCTGTTTCGTGCTTGTAGATGAAGATATGAGCTCCCAGCTACTGCTCCATCTTCATGCCTGCCTGCTGCTGCCATGCTTCCTGCAGTGATGGTCATGGACTCTAAGCCTCTGGAACTGCGAGCTCTCAATAAACATCCTCTTTTACAGTTACCTTGGCATGGTATTTTGTCATGGCAATAGAAGAGTAACTAAGAGAACGCCTTCCCTTCTCTCCCTCTCCTGCTCAGATTTGTGGGTTCAGCTGATATTTTATCATCACTAGAAGGTATAGCATCCAGCCCAGCTGCCACATATACCACACCTTTTGAACACCTGCTGAACTGCCTGGACTCCACTCCCTTTTTCTCATACTGTGTGCCAGAACCCAGCAGCACAGACCATGTGCCTGGGGCTTGTTAGCAATGCAGAATCAAGCTAGTGGGTCAGGACCTGGGTCTCTGATCTGTTTGCTATCTAGGTTCAGCAGGAGTTTTTAACCCCAGTATGGGCTGCTGCAGGGGGTTCAGAGAAATGAGGGCCAATTCTGTCCTGGGGTGTTCCTGACCTTCTGGTGTGATCTGGAACCTTTGGGTCCCAGATCCCTCAAGACCCTCAGTCCTCCGGCAATTAATTGTTTCTGAGGTCACCTCAGATACATCCTGTGTGCTAAACGTGTGATCCAGGGCAAGGAGGGGCTGTCCTGGAGGTCTCCACTCCTCACTTGACACTGGATCTGACCTTTCTCCCAAAGAGACAGACTCACCCCATGCCGTCTCCTGGGAATGGGATCCTGAGGGTTGATGAGAAAGCCGGCCTTTGGGATGTTGTTGGTGAAAACTAGCTTCTTCCCTGTGTCCACCTCTGTCCTCCGCAGCTGTTGGTTTCTGATAAGACTGAGATGATAAAGCACTTACTCCAGGTGGCCATGTGATGAGCCTCCACTGGGTCCCAGGAGAAGCAAGAGCATGGGGCCACCAGGAATGGTGGGGAACTTGTGGGATTCACTACTGATCATGACTTAGCAGCCATCTTTGGGGGGCCATCAGAACGCTTCCCAGGAGCACTCACTCCGTTTCTTATCTTAAACTCACCTTACCAAACTAGGAAGGTACAAATACCTATCAATGTGGATAAAGAAGTAAATTCAGCAGGCAGAGTGGAAGGAGTCTGGTGGAAAAGTGGGAGCAAGGACAGAAGGACTCGGAGGTGACAGGAACTCCACAAGATGACCAACAGAGCCAACTAACCAGGGCCCAAACGGCTTTCAGAGACTGAAGCACCAATCAAGAGGCATGCATTGACCCTACACAGACGTAGCTGATGGGCAGCTCAGGGTTCATGTGAGTTCCCTAGTAAGGGGAGCAGGGGCTGTCTCTGACATGTATTCTGCTGCCTGCTTTCTGATCACTTTCCCCTGATGGGGCTCCCTCGACAGACCACAGGATAATGGGACTTGCTCAGTCCTGATTCAACTTGATGAGCTGGAGTGGGTGGGTAGGGGATTCATTCCCCTTATCTGAGGAATAGGGGAGGGGCTGGAGGAAGAGGGAGAAAGAGTGGGACTGGGAGAGAGGAGGAATTAATTAATTAATTAGTTAATTAATTAATTAAAATAAGCTCAGTCAAGAACAGGTTGGAATCAGGGCATAGTGGTGCACACTTGTAATCCCAGCACTACGGGAGGCAGTGATAGAAGGATCTCTGTGTGCTCGAGGCCAGCCTGGTCTACAAATCAAGTCTAGGACAGCCAAGGCTACACAGAGAAACACTTTCTCAAAAAAAAAAAAAAAAAAGAAAGAAAAAAAGAAAAACCAAAACAAAACAGGGTGGAGGCTAGCTCCCTAGTGAGGGATGACCGAAGATCCCCTGAGCTCTACCAGAACCATACGTAGGATGTCTCCAGGTTCCCAGCACCCTACTGGCACACAGCCTAGCCTCAGCCATCTGCTCTAGGGTCCCCAGTTGGAGAGGAGGCACTGTCCTAGACAAAGTGGGGCCAAGGAAGGCCCTCACCTCAGCATGTTCTCCTCTAGCAGCCGCAGGGCCTGCCAGGACTCTGCCAGCTCCCTCAGCTCCTCCTGGACCATGGCTGCCCCCTCTGGGGAAGACTTCTTCATTACAAGCTGGCCCAGTGCTTGGAGCAGAGACAGCTGGACTTCTTTCTCCGGAAGTTCAGACAGCAGCCTCTGTAGGACACGTGGATAAACATACACACAGGTGAGGTACTGATTTGGGGGAAGTCTGTGTACCCCAGCATGAGGGTCATCCAGAATGCTGTAGGGGAATGCCGGCGAGAGAATGAATTGTCTTACCTCAAGTCCGGCCTCTTGGGACTCAGCATCGCACAGATGCACATCCGCTTGGTGTGATTCCAACGTCTGTGTGGCCACGGTGACCCATTGCTGCAGCTCCAACAGCCGGTGACTGAAGGTGCAGTGCTCTCGGACGCTCTGCTGACAGCTATCCACAAGGCCCTGTGGCATGGGCAGGAGAGCCAGGGTTCTGTGTGCTGCTTGAGGCAGACTCTGGGTGCACCCCAACTCTGCAAAGTGCTTTTGACCTGGCTGCACCCTCAATTTTCCCCAACAGGAACCTTACAGTCCGGTGTTTTCCTTAGCACACTACAGACTGATTCTGCCCTAAATAGCCTTGAGTCTGTTTTGTTTCCACAGAGACTATCAAGAGTAGGTGAGGCTGGGGCTCTCTGAATTTGGGGACACCAGGGGTAGAGATTTGGTAAGGCTGAGCACAGGTGTCATGCCTGACCCGGCCATGGCTCCTGCCTCCCAGAAGAGCAAGATGCCTAGCAGGATGTGTCTCTAAAGGGCACATGTCACCGCTCCAATTCAGACATCATCCACAAAAGTAAAATGGAGGAGGTAGGGGATGTACCAGGGTTTCCATGGTAGAAACCCTGCCCAGTGTGTGAAAGGTCCTGAATTTGATCCCCAGTATGGGAGTAGATAAACTTGTGGTAAAACATCCACTGGACAGAATGCTCTAGAGCGGTAAGAACAAATAGCCCCAGAAGCCACAACAGAGACTTGAACCGGTCCAAGTATGGACAGTAAGTGGTGGCTGAGTGCTCAGCCCTCAATGGAACATTGCTATTACCCCACTGTGGTGGGCTGAATGAAAATGGCCCCTACAGGCTCCTGTGTTCTCACCCTTAGTCCCCAGTTGGTGAGGTGTTTTGAAAGAGTAGGTGTGGCTTCACTGGAGGAGGTGTGTGCTTGTTGAAGGAGTTGTGTCTTTGCTGGAGTGGGTGTGTCCTTGCTGGAGGAGGTATGTCCCAGGGGGATGGGCTTTGAGGTTTCAAAAGCACACCAGGTCCATCAGGCATCTCTCTTAATCTCTCTCTCCACTCCCTCCCTCTTTCTCTCAGTCTCTCCTTCTTCCTCTTCCCCCCTCCCCTCTCTCTGCCGGCCAACCATGGATCAGAATGTAGATTCCAGCTCCTGCTCTAGCACCATGCCTGCCTATGTGCTGCTGACATGCTCCTTGCCATGACGATAACAGACCAACCCTCTGGAACTGTAAACAAACTCCCGATTAAATGCTTTCTGTTATAAGAGTTGCTTTGGCCATGGTGTCTCTTCATAGCAGTAGAACAGTCACTTAGATACCCTCCCCCTCCCCTGGAAAGATTAGGGAACATCATGGAAGATGGGGTAGAAAGGATGTAAGAGCCAGAGGGAGCTACAACATGATACAGCTGGCACACTCATAAATTCACAGCAGCTACTGTTACCTGTACAAAACCAAGCTGGTTAATACTACAGCTTGGATAAGGGAGGGGCTCACGAGACCAACGCCCCCCACCCCCACCCACCCAGGAGCTGTCAGCAGCTAAAGGCTGCTGGGAGATGAGGAGTCATTTTATTTTATGTTTCCTCTGGGGAAGTGGCCTCTGGTAGGCGGTCCATGTTCCAGTGGATGACCCCACTGGCATTCCCACACAGGCAGCACTAACTACGAAGAGTATTACAACAACAAAGGCAGAGGGGACATGTTGGGGATGGTTCAGGAGGAGGGGGAGCAGGTTAGATATGATGTAGATACATTGTATGCATGTAAGAAATTGTCAAAGAAAAAAATTTTTAAACAATAGTCTTTAAAAAGAATGAATAGCCTGTGACCCCCTCACAGCGGTGTGGAGAACTCTGCAGGCATTGTGTGGAGGTGGAAAACAGCTCTGAGGTCAGGGCTGTCTTCCAGGGCAAGTGAGCGACTGTACAGAGGGGGCATGAAGAAGATGGGAATTACCCTAGGTTTTGCCTGGGGGTGGTTACATGGGTCTGTTTGCTCTTTATTTGTTGAACCATGCCATCATGTATATGGTTATGATTCTATATAAACGTTTTCAAAGCTGCCTTGCGCCCCCCCCCTCCATTCCCAGGCCCTGTTTCCTGGACCTGTCAGTCTCTCAGAAGTCTGAATCAGTGGCCTTTCTCTTCTCTGTCTTCCAGATGGCTGGCACTGTCCTCAGAAGGATGGCCATTCTCCATGCTTCTGGTCGCCTTGCCTGGGACTCTCTGAGCCTCCCTTTCAACCAAACAGGAGCCATTTAGACTCCAGCCTGCTGACATTATTCTCACTACATTACCCTGAAAGCCTCATGCCTCTATGCTGGGCTCCCAAAGACCTTGTCTCCCTGTATCAGGGGGGAGGGCGGGAGATAGAGAGAGAGTGAGGAAAAGAAAAGAAAAGAAAAAAAAAGAAAAGAGAAAAGAAGAGAAATGTAAAGAAAGGAAAAAGGATGCCAGGTCCCTGCCAAGAGGCTATAAGTCCAAAGAGAGGTTCAGAATCCCACATAATGTATCTTCCTTCAACAACCCATCAAAGCTAACCTCAAACATTTTCTAAGCCCTGCTTCTCTGAGTCTGCAGTGACAGGGCCTGGGTACCAACACCAACTCACCATCCCCAATGGTGTACTGCCATTAGGGACCTGTGGTGTCAGCCACAGGAGCACACACCTTGCAGATATGTGATAGTTAACCTTGCTTGTTAGCTTGACTAGATCTAGACACAAGACTCTGAAGGGCCGTCAAGGTTCATTAAGGGAGGTAAGAGGTCCCACCATAACTGTGAACCACACCACTCCATGGGCTGGCGTCCAAGTCTACATGAAAAGGGGGGAAAGCAGAAGCACTTGGATCTCTGTGAGTTCAAGGCCAGCTTGGTCTGCAGAGTTCATCTCTCTCTGCTTCCTGACTGGAGACACGGTGTGACTGGCTGCTTCAAGCTCCTGCCACCATGGGTCCCTGAATCATGAAGGACTGTGAGCCAAGGTAAGCCCTTCTGTTCTATTGTTGTCTTTGTCAGATATTTTTGTCTCAGTGATGACAGGACGTGAAGGTCCCCTGGCTGTGAGGGAAGGATGGATTTAAGCTCACTAGGCTTCACAGGTGCTGAACGTCTGAATAAAGAGGGACAGCTTCTCTTTATAGAAGCATCACTGGATGTCACCTCCTTGCAATCTCTAATGACACTTGGTCCTCTAACAACTGGCCTGGCTCATCATTCGAATACAGTTTTTGGAGCTGACGTTTGTGGCTTCTAGGAGGTGGGAACAGTGTCCTGGCTCCCTATTCTCTTCCTTTACCCCCGGGAGCACAGGTGCTGGTTTACAGAACAGAATCGATAAATTAATCCAGACCCACTGTATTTCCTCGGTGGACAGGGCCCCTGAGGTCTTGCATATGACATCATGTTTCCTAGCGACTCCTGGAGAAGTGTTTGGGGCCTGGAATAGCAGACAGTGTAAGTGTGGTAGGTGGAGAGAGGGAGAAAAAACTGTCCTATGCCCCACAAATGGATATGTACACTCGTCTGCCCACATGCACAGGGGGTAAAAGCTTATTTGCCGTGGCCTGGGATTGGGTTCTATCTCCACACACAGGTGTATGGGCTTTGAAGTTCTAACAGAAACACTGGCTTATCCAGGAACACACCTATCCTCTACCTCTAGAGGCACAGCTGGCCATGCCACCTGATGCGACATTAGTGGCTGTGACGTGAAGTATTTCCTGACACCCCCCTGATGACCAGAGCTTGGCCATCTGTAGGCACTTCCATGTATGTGACTTGATTATAATGCCTCTTTAAGAATTTCTTTCTATTCAAAATGGTCTGTGAGAGTGGTGTTCCCACCTGTTATCTTCAGGATGGTAAGAAAGGTGTTTGCTGTGGAAACAGGGTGCGCAGGGCCAGGTGGGCTGGAAGAAGTTAGCCTAGCATGGAGTTTTCTTGCACTGTGGCTGCCAGGGATCTGCCCAAACTCCCTGAGGCTTGAATCAAAGGCAGATCCAGAGCTGTCTAAACCAGGGTGGATAATGAGCCTGGGAGTCTGCATTCCTACTTGTCTCAAGTCAAGTGTCAAGAAGCCTGGGGTTCTGAACATCCAGTTTCAGGGAGTAGAATCAAGCCTGTGCAGCAGAAAGTGCTCAGGGAGCCACCAGAGGGCGCTGAGGACAAAGCCTCTGAGGCCATGAGGGCTAGGGAACAAATACAAGAACTGTATACCCGCACAGGCTGTTGGGATAAGGCCACCTTTTCTGTTCTCAGTCTGTAGGCCTCATTACAACCTTTGGCATTGCTCACTTACTTACTGATTCACTGTCTATCCGTCCAAACCCCAGGAAAGCAGGAACCCTTGTCTGTCCTTGGGGACTGCCTCCACCACAGGAGCCCAGAACAGCAGCCGCCAGCATATAAGAACTGCTCAATTTACATAAACGAGGATGAAAAGAAAGGGAGGATGGAAGGGATGCAAAATAGAAGAAGAAAGAAGCCAGGAGTGTAGGATTCTAGGACCTGACCCCTGCTGCTCCGAACCTTCCCTGGCCCCTTACCTCTAGGGTCCTCTGCAGGGCTTGCTGGTCAGAGGAGACCTGGTCTACTTTGTGTTGGTGGCTCAAGTTCCCCTGGGCAAGAGGCCTCACAGCCTCTATTTGTGTTCCCAGATCAAGCCCCTCCTCCTGCAGCCCCTGTGATAGAGAGAAAAACAAATGAGCTTGGCCACCTGCCCCTCCATCCCAGAAGACCCTCCATCCTGAAAGACCCTTCATCCCAGAAGAATCTCCACCCTGGAGGCCCAATGACATAGGGACTCTGAGTGGGAGAGTCACTGTTGTGTTCCCAGAAGAGCGTGTTCCCTCTATCAGTGGCTGTACCAGATGGGTGGTCTGAAAGATTTCTTTTCAGGGCAAATGAAACTTTAAAATTGAGACACAAATATCCTTGGGGCACTACTAAAATAAACCATAGGAAAGGTCCCAGACAGCATGTTGGGAAAGAAACTCATGTCTGGACTCTCACTTGGTGACCATTGGTCGCTATGCAGAATTACACCCACGTCAGTATTAAAGGCTCACATGTACCAGGCTTAACATCTTCCAGAGAATGCTGTCAGCTTATACACGAACCGTGTTTGGGTTTAAAACAACAAACATTGTGTCATGTGCGTGATAAAAACCAGTGAAGCTCCTCAGCTGGCCAACGATTACCAGTGACCCGCCTGAATACAGTCCACACATGATACAAAACATATCTTCCTAATCTCAAAATTGGTTTGTTCAACTGAAGGTCTCCAGACTCACCAAGAATAGTTCACATGGACAGTTCATCTTCGGTGTCAGCTTGACTGGATTTGTATCGCCTAGGGACACCTCTGGGTGTGTCTATGAGGGTGTTTCCAAGTACGGTTATCGGAAGAGGGAAGATCCACACTGTATGCGGATGGCACCTCCCTATGGGCTGGAGGCCCAAACTTAATAAAAGGGGAAATCGAACAGAGAGCCAGCATTTAGGCTCTCTGCTTTCTGACTGCTCTTCAGAACTTGGAGCCCTGGGGTAAACAAAAGAACTGCTTGTCGCTCTGTCAGACTCGAGACTCGAAAGCTTGGGGGTGCTAACTGCCCGGCAGAGGCCAGAAACTGCCAGCCTGATAAGCAGAGATTCCACAGACGCAAGTCTGCCGTAACCCACCCTTCCGCTCAGGCTGACGGCTGCTTTGCAGTTTGCTGCCGGAAGAGGGAGCTCCCCGCATACAACAGCGAGCCACGTGACAAAGCCCCTCCTCACCTGCAGCCTCAGGAGCCGGACCTGCTTCCCAGGAAGGTCCCGCGGAAGCCCCTTCTCTGCTTGGATCCTGGCTTGGAGGTCTAGGAGCTTCCTGTGTAGGGGGTCAAAAGCCACCCCGAAGTCCTTGTGCTGGACGAGCAGGCTCTGCAAATAGAACTACAAATGAAGAGCTTTCCTCATGGTGTCTTGTAAGACCTGACAGTGGGCTGGGCTGCTCTCTCTATGCTAGCTCCTGAACCACCTCCTCCAGGATGCCCTCCCTGGTGAGTTGCTCTTGTGTTCTCTCACCACACTCTAGCCATGGTCCTCGAGATCCGCCCTACCCCATTCACCAAATCCCACCAGAAGCTTGTTTGTGAATATGGTTTTATTAGAACGTGGCCTCTCCTACTCATTTCCTTTTGATTGTCTGCTATAGAGGCAGAGCTGAGCCAAGTGCTCTGCAGACCCTTGCAGCAGCAGCCTGTAGATCAGAGATTCTCAAGTTGTGGGTTGAGACCCCAGTGAGAGTGGGCTAGTTGACCCTTTCATAGGGGTCATCTAAGACCATACAATTCATAGCAGAAGCAAAATGACAGTTAGGATGTAGCAGTGACAATAATTTTATGGCTGGAGGTCACCAGCGCGTGAGGAACTGTATTAAAGGGTCGAGACGTTAGGAAGGTTGAGAGCCACTGTTCTAAGCTTTCGTTGTGACCCTCTGCAGACCCCTCCTGTAAGGGCCTGTGTGTGCTTGTTTTCACTCCACCAGCAGCTCCAGTGGTTTGAGAGGGAAGATCTCACTTCCGGTCTGCTTCCCCCAGTTCCTGCCTCCCCGATTCGTTCTGCTGATGACATGAGATTACTGGACTGGAGTCAGGTGACATAGCCTGAGCCGTGACCCCTGCACCAGACTCTCCTCACCTGTAAAACCAGGAAAATGGCAGCACCTCCCCCACAGCATCAGCTGGACAAAGGTTAGCAGGTGCCTGGCCCAGAGCCAACACCTGTAGACCGTAGCTATTATCATCATCATCATTACTGGCCACTCAGCAAACACTTGGCAGCTCCAACAGGCTGCCTGCAGAGTGCCAAGCTATCACTTTGATTTAGTGTACCCAGAAGCAAGCCATTCATAACACTCATTCCTAGGATAATGGTGGGTTAAGGTTAGCAAATGCTTGTATCTGCACTTTCTATTGCATTTCGCGCGCGCGCGCGCGCGTGTGTGTGTGTGTGTGTGTGTGTGTGTGTGTGTGTGTGTGTGTGTTCACACGCATGCATGCACATTTGGAGGTCAGAAGACAACTTGTAGGAGTCATGTGGAGTCCCATGTGGGCCCTTAGCGATTGAATCAGGTAGAGGCTGGGCAGCAAGCTCCTTCGCAGCTGAACCATCTTACCCACACCGTTGTCTTTGCTTGTGCATCAGGTCCATGGAACACAGTGTAGTTTGATTGGGATGTAGAGAACAGGACCAGAAGTGACCAGTGGCAGAGAGGTGGCTACAGAGCCAGCTAGAGGGGCCACGTGAGAGCCCTGTCCTGTCTCTAGATGGAGACACTGAGATTGTGGGCCACAGTGGCAGGGGTAGGGCTCTGGGAGTACCAAGCAGGACTGCGCCCGCCCCGTGGACAGGCTCCGGGGCGAAGCCTCTGCTGCTCACCTGCAGTTTGCTCTTCCTCTGAAGAAGGCTGTTATGCAGCAGGTCTCTGTCCCTCACAGAACTTGCCACCTGCTCCAGGAGGGCGGCTGCTCTCTCCTGGCCAAAGATGCTGCCCAGCAGGTCTGTCTTCAGCTGCAGCATCGCCAGCTGCTCCTTCAGGCGTGAGCTTTCTGTTAGGGCTGCCTGTGGGAGACGGGATGTCTATGAACCTCAGATGGCCAGGTACACCCAAGCTCAGCCCTGGGGCCAGGAGTACAGCCTTTCCCACTGTTGCTGCAGGAGCTGCGATTCTGCAGACGTCTGTGGAGAAGCGGCGCAGCAGAAAGACTGCATTGGGAGGCCCTGAATTTCAGGATCAGGTTGGTTTTCTTTTTCCAGCTCCCCGTGCATCTCATTACCAAAGGCCAGGTAATAATGCACTCCCTTTTCTGTCTCGGAAACCCATGTCCCCACATCATCACCACCAGCAGCTCTGGCATGCCCTCAGCCTCTCTCACTTGGACCACCGCTCCTGCCTGCCTATTGCATCCAAGCTGGCGCTCCAGAGCTGGCCCTCCACACTGCACCAACTTGAGCCTCTATGCCACTACACAGTGACCCTCCATCACCAACAGACCTTCTGACATCCTGAAAACACAGCCCCTGGGCCCCTGGGCAGTTCCCACCAATAACAAGAGGCAACTGGATCCCTGTGGGTTCGTGGCTGACCAAGTCTACATAGTAAGTTCCAGACAAGCCAGGGCTACAAAAGGAGACCCTGTCTCAACTAGAAAACTAAATAAAACAGATAATTAAGGAGAGATTAAAGTTGGGGAGATGGCTCAACAATTAAGGTGCTTTCTGAACAAGCGTGAGGAAGGGGTTGTAGGGGACCCCTAAAGCAAGCTGGCTGGCAAGACCAGCCACTCCAGTGAGCTCTGGGATCAATGAATAAGGTGAAAGAGCAATCAAGGATGGTTCCCAACACCAGCCTCGGGCTCACACACCTTCAGGCTCCAGGCTTCAGGCCGAGCAGCATTCTCCAGTGGGAGTGGGGCCTACCCTGATTAAAGATTCTCCCAGCAACACCCAGCAGGCCAGAAAGGGTGATGGGGAAAACTGTTCTGACATGTTGATGGTGGCCCTGTGCCTCGTGGGATGGTGGGCAGTTTTGCTTAATTTTCGGGGAAATCTATACGTTCTCTGGGTAGCAGGTGTATTTTTATAATCAGAATGAAAGCTAATATAAAATGAGGTTGACACGCAGCACATTTTCATGTCTCTGTGTCTGTGTGTGTGTGTGTGTGTTGGAGCATCCCTGGACACAAGAGCATCTCATGGACTGAGAGCACAATGGTGTTTATAAGCCAATCAAAACCCCAGTGTGGAGGGACTCTGGCAGATGTTGCAAAATGCCCCTCCCTGCCTTTCCTCTTTCTCCAAACAGAGGGCATTTGTTTTAGAAGCACCTGAAGGCTCCGCATTATTAGTGTTACTGGTACAGCCAGTCATGACAATTTCACCGCCTTCAGCCAAGCACTGGTTTAAGGATGTGGTCACATGACCTGCCCCACCAATGAGATGCAAGGTTTCCAGGAAGGCTTTACCTCCCTTTGGTCCTCTGTGTCATTCCCACTAATAACAAATGCTACTTGGTACTTGGTAGCTAAATTGGGGGCCAGAAAGAGATGTGGCTTGGAGCTAGGGGAGCCTGGGTTCCAGGTGACACTGTTGAGCCATCAAGCCGGCCTGATCACCTGTGCTGTCACTGTAGACGCAGGGAAGGTAGTGGCTTGCTACACGGCTCTCTCCCAGAACCATTGCTACTCTACCTATAAAGGGGACCCCGACGTGGGCAAAATTCCATGTAGGAGAAGATCCATGAAAGCCATGCCAGGCTTTGCCTCTGCCAAGGACTGAGGATGAATTGCATCTCTGAGAATGAGTGACGACTCTTCCTGTACCCTTGGCACTTGGCTGACCCAGGTTAGGACACACTAATGCGCTTGGCCCTGGAAGAGTAGCCGAGATGCCACACGCTGGGCTGGCAGCCTCCCCAGCCCCACAGAGCCTCATTACCTCAATCTGGGGAAGAAAGGTGTGAATGGAGGGCAGGTCTGGCAGGCTGGTGGTGATGTCCAGGAGCCTCTGGGCTAGGGCCTTCCACAGCTGCAGGTCATTGAGGGGCCGCTGGAAACGCTGCCACAGCTCTGCCCTGGTCGCATTGTGGAGCCTGGTGTTCCTTCCCTTCATACTGCCAGGACAGCGCAGGGCACGGATCCAGAGAGGAGAGAGTGAGGTCAGTCTAGGGCTAAGGCCTCTGCCCAGGCAGCCAGGGCAGGGGATGGCCTCCTAACACGTGAGCTGCTATGACTGTGTGAGGACTCACACATAGGACGTAGGTGGGAACTCGTAAGCACTGAGAGAGAGCGGCACTGACCACATGCCAGGGGTCTTCCTGAGAACAGACCCTCGGCTCCTTCAGGCCTGTGGGCTCTCACAGAAATGAGATGCACGAGCCTCCTTGGGTCTGCAGTGCCTGAAAGGCCAGGCAGGCAGAGCAGCCGTGACCTGCATGGCTTAATGCAGTCAAGCCCCCGTTTCCTCATCTGAAGAATGAGTAACACAATGCTCTTCATACTGCTCCCGGAAACATGCCTAATCCAGGATGGCCTCACAGTGCTCCTGGAACCATTTATAAATCCAGAGGGTTCTTCTCGTAGCAGGCAGCTGGAGAACTGCCTTTCCCACCTAGACCCAACCAAGAGCTCAATCCAAGTTCTAAAAGAAATAAATGATAAAAACGTGAGCCTGAGACCCAGAGCTACTTTGAGCCTGACAGCATCCTGGAAGAAAGGGTTGCAGAATGAGCTAGCCTGTGACACGCAGCCCCAGAGTGAAGGGCAGGTTCTGTAGGCTATGCCATTCTTGCAGCTGGGACCTTGAAAACTGGGCTATCGGGCAGTGCCACAGAACTGTCCTCACACTGAGCCAGGCCAGCTTTAAAGCAGGGGACCAACCTAACCTGGTACTGCCTGGTCAAGGCAAACCAAAACCCTTCCTAAGATATCATCCTAGAGCTGGGTGGTGGTGGCTCATGCCTTTAATCCCAGCACTTAGGAAGCAGAGGCAGGCAGATCTCTGAGTTTGAGGCTAGCCAGGTCTACAGAGTGAGTTCCAAGACAGGGCTACACAGAGAAACCCTGTCTCAGGCAGGGGGAAAATGCATCATTCCAGGCCCAGCTGCTTCCTATAAATAAGTTTCGTGTACAAGGTTCAACACCAGATAAAGCTGCCCGGATCCTGATAACTGGGCAAGACAAGCTGAGGGAAGAGAGACCATTGGCTGATGGGCCTTTTCCTGCTCTGTGTATAGGAAGTCTGAGCCCCAGCCTAGCCCTGCGTCAGCATTCTGCAGTAGGATCTAGGCACTATCCCAGTTTTACAGATGTTGGGCTGATGAACAGCTCTGGGTGAGAGGCACAGGTGGAGGACTATGTCCACTCTGAAGGAATCCTCCATGACCAGGAGGAGGTATAATATGTACTAAAAGGTGCTGTTGGGATGGCTGGACTGTTTTTAGGATGCCTCCTTAGCAAAGAATAGGTGATCACCCCCAGATGTGCAAACCTTGCTTCTGCAGGGCTGGGGGTGGGGTGGGGCATTACTCTACCCGCTGCTGAGCACAGCTGTGCCCATGGGCAGAGACAAGCAGAGGCTGTGCTGAAGATGCACTCTGATACTTAAGTCTCAGCACGGTCAGAGGCGCAGGTGCGGTGTTCACTCTCGTAGCAGCCCTCTCTTATGACACTGCATGGCGAAGCCCTCCCAATGCTCAGTCACCCGAAGACCCAGCAGAGGTGCGCCCTCAAGCCAGGAAAAAGCAAAGCTCAGGCCTCAGGGAGCCAAATGCCACAATGACGAGAGGGCAGGGTCTAAGCTGAGTAGAGACCCGCCATGCCCAGACAGCAAGCCCGTCTTCCACACACAGGGTGCCAGGTACCCAGCGCCCTGCATCCGACCACCCTTAGTCCTGCCCAACTTCAGCCTCCCCTGGTACCGTTGATATTCCTGAATGGCGGCCACCACGCTGTCAGAGAGTGACTGTAGGTCTGGGAAGGTGACAAGTTCCTTCAGTTGAGTTTGTAACCGGTCTACACGAGGTTCCTCTGAAGCCAGTGCAGCCTGAGTCCCCTGCAAGACATGACATGCAGAAGCTGGTGAGGCTCCTTAGGACTACAGTGTGTGCAACAGGGGCTGATTAGAGGCTGGTGACAGGCCAGGCTGGAGGACCTTGTCTCCAAAGGCATGGACTGGGGGATCTTATCCTTAGGCTCAAGCTTTGCTCTCCAATCTAGAACTTAACCTTCCCTGTAGCTACCCGGTTGCACATGGCGTCAGCTTCCTCACAGTGACACTGTGACAAATGCTAGCTTCATTTTACTATAGCTGCTCCCGTTGGATACAGCCTTTACCTCTGGTTCTGGGATGATCTTATTCTGTAACCCCCCACCCCAACCTCCACCTGGTTTCAAACCCCAGCACTGACATAAAAGATGACTATGAAAAACAAAGCTTCAACAGAGGGGTTTAGGGAATGTGAACCATTGGTTAGCAAGCCAGACTCCAGCTAAGAGCCAGTTCTTTTTCTCTTCCTCCTCTTTCTCCTCCTACTCTTCCTCCCCCTCCTTCTTTTTTTGAGACAGGATTTTCCTGTGTAGTCTTGGCTGTCTTAGACTTGCTTTGTAGACCGGGCTGGCCTTGAACTCAGAGAGATCTGCCGGCCGCCTCCCCATAAAAGCATGTGCCGCCACCCTTGGCTGAGGCAGTACTTCTTAAGCGCAGACATTTTTAGGTGCTAAGCACTTTCACTGGCCCCACTGTCATTATTCCCAATTTACACACTCCTAAAGTTCAACCCTTCCCCTCAGGCTGTCCAGGAGGAAGGGAAGGAGCCGCCTGATCCTGTGCAGGCTGGTCCCACAATCCCCACTCCCAACCACCACAACGCTTCAACAAGACTGAAGCAGGCAGCCCGTGAGGATGCATGGTCCCCTTTGGAGAAAGATGCAAGCTAGACAAGGGGTTGAGAGGGTTGGGGATCTTTATCTAAAAACTGTCTGAAAGTCAGACTTCCTGCTGTGATTTGACTGGAGCTGGCAGCAGTGCTGTGAGCTTTTAGGAGGAGGAGCCCAGAGGGAAGTCCTTAAGTCTTTGGAGGTGTGCCACTAAAGAAGCCCATGGGGCCTTCTTGTCTTGTCTTCCTGGCTGGCCCTGCTTTCTGGCTTACAAGGTGAATATGTAATATATAGGAGGTGCCGTACACTCTCACCATGACATGCTGTTCTTGCCAGACACCCAATGAAATGCAGCTACTGGGTCTCAAACCATACCTCCAGAACATGAGCCGTAACAAACCTTTGCTCTTCATAAACTGACTGCCTGGGCTGTTCTGTTACAGAAACATGAAGGTGGCTAAGACTTTCCAAGTGGGTAGGAGCCCACACTGTCTTCCCTAAATGGGTATCCTTGCTGGACCTCCACAGACCCCCTGCCCTGTGTTTGCCTTTCACCATCCCTGCACTATGAACCTTGCTACTTCCTGGCCCCTCATCCCACTGCTGAAGAAGAAAAGGGCTTTGAAGCCCATGTCTGGAAGTCCTATGTTCCTTGGGTCTTAAATTAGTCACCAACTTACCATGTGCCTTTAGGGACTGCAAGGGGGGGGGGTATTTCGGGCCTCTGTTTCTTCTTCTAGAAAAAGGGAACAAACACCTGCTTTCTCTATGACCTTTTCAGGGAACTCAGGTGCCAAAGAATCAGGCACACCAGAGAGGGTATATAAGGCTGACTGTGATTCCCTGCCACACAGCAACTCCAAGTGGCAACCGGAGGCCCAGCACACCTCCATACTTACCGAGAACAGCCTCCAGTGGGCCACCAGCTCATCCTCTGTGGCTGTCTTCACCGCAGGCTCCAGGCCCTCCTGGGCGACTCTCTGAAGGCCTTTCTTGAACTCTCCCAGTTCCACCTCCAGCTGCTGGATCTGCCGCTCACAGGCCCCCTTGGACTGGAGCAGGCCCCGCAGCCTCCCTTCCTCCTCCTCCCAGAGAACTCTGAGCTTTTCCAGGACCCCCCGCATCTCCTCCAGCTCCCCTGAGATCTTCTCCGCACCCAGAGGAGAGGTGTTCCGAATGACGCCCGCAGCCTGCTCCTCCAATCTGTCCAAAGACTCCTCGCCCCTAGAGAAATCCTTGGCAACGTCCTGACGAGGGTGATGGGGAGACAGCAGGAAAGCAAAGGTTAGCTTTGCTCTTAGAGTGGTGGGGACCATCTCAAGTGTGCACCGTCTTGCCTAGATAATGTGGACTTGTGAGGTGGGAACTGTTCCCTCCTGTCTCTTCCAAGCCACTGAGTACTTACAGGATAATATCTCTGTCGGGTGTGTCTGTTTTCAGCACTATCTGGCAGTTACTAATATTTCTTTAAAACAAATCAACTTGAATCCATTAGCAAATCAAAGAATCAAGGGGCACCAACCCTCACTGTGTGTGTTTGTGTGTACCTATTTAGATTTTAGACACATGTCTGTGTATATCATTATATCTGTAGAGGTATATGGATAACATGTGTGTGACTTAGGTAGCCCAGGTTGGCCACGATATATGACTAAGGATGGCCTTAAATTTCCTCAGACGTTCCAGGTGCTGGATCACAGGTATGTGTAACCATGTCTGGTGTTTATGTTTTTATATTAATTACAAGTGGTACCGGTTTTTCCCTTTACAACAGTGATTCAAGTTTTCTCTCCTTTCCTTTTTTTTGTGACAGGATATTATCATAGACATACATACATGTTTATCTTTACCTTTCCCAGGCTGGCCTCAAAGATTCAATCATTCCACCCAAAGTGGTGGGCTGATGGTTGTGTACTCCCACTTGACTCCAAGTTTTGTTTCTACCTAATGTTCACCAACTTCTTCAAAGGCAAGTTGGCTTAAATATAAATTAACAGGCACCGTGCAGGGAAGGCTGAGGACTGGATCTTGAATTGCTGATAATCACTTGCTGTCTGGTCCAAAGGAAACTGCAATGCCCCAGACTCCAACAGGAAGTCCAACGAGAGCTCATCCTGGACCATATCCTCCTTACAGCTGGGCTCTCCCCACTATTCTTGGCTCCTGCTGTTCTCACGGTGCTTCTCTATTCTCTGTCCCTTGCTATTCTCCCCTCCCTTGCAGACACCCCTGGCCACGTGCTGACCATGTTCAGTCTACTTCTTTCTCTCTCTGTCCTAGACTCTTCCAGATGCCTTTGGCTATTCTCTCTCTCTCAATAAAAAGTTTCCCTTTAGCTATACCATGGAGCAGTCATGTCTGCAGTTTCTGTACTTCATCCCCCTCGCATACATCTGGTGCCAAAACGCTTACATACACCCACTAGGTGCAGGATCTAGAAGCTCCCCCAGGGCCATGCGATGTGAAAGGTGGCATGAACCCACTTCTTATGACCACAGCATGGTTCCTACCCACAGTTTTTCTCCCATGGCATGGCTGGCATTTAAACGGGATGATTCTCCATTATGGTGCTGCCCTGGCATGTAGTCGCATCCCTAGCCTTCATCATCTGGGAGCAAGGGGCAGTACCCTCACAGACCTGTAATGATTAAAAATGTCTCCTGACATGCCATGCACCCCACATCTGAGACCCGTGGGTCAAGACCAGGCTACTGGAATCTTGCAAGTCCAATCTGTCCCACCTGTCATCCACTACCCCAAATGTTTGCGCTAGATGCCACAGTTCCCTTCCCATGAGTCTGTGCTGTGGGTGTCTGTGTCTGGTGAGGCAACTGATATTATCCTCACTTGCGACAACACAAAGGCGCTCCCTCGGCGGGACCTCAAGATGCCCTAGCTGGGACACAGTGTCCTGCCTGAGTCCCAGTGATGTACCTGCAGCGCAGAGAGGCGAAGCTCCGTGGCCAGCTTGCAGTTCCGCCCAAGGCAGCTGTGTACCTTCTCCACCACCGCCTTCAGCCACAGCTGGAACTCGTTCACATCCTCCCGGTACTGCTCATGCTCTTGGGCCACCTGGGCCAGGAAGTCCACCCTGTGCTGTAGGAAGAATTGCCTGCCATGAGGGTCCCCCACCTGGCTAGAAGCCCATTACCTGAGGCTGGAACCCTTTAAGGCCAGGAAACAATAACTGCTTGGCAGGGAGTTGGGGGGTAGATCTGTGTGGATGTGTGAGTGTGCGTCAGAGATGCTGCAGGCAGAACCAGACCCTGGAGTCCACACATGCCAGCACCTGGCCTGGTCAACTCTACAGCTGGCATTTTCCCCTGCTATGTATGGGGAATGCCACGTGATAGGATATGAGAGCAGCATGGACAGTAATAAGGACCTCAGAACACTGTCCCTCTGAGCCCTCACCCTCTCCCTCATCCTGCAGTGCACACTGCTAAGAAAGTTCCATGGGGGGCTGGGGAGATGGCTCAGCACTTAAAGAGTACTGTCTGCTCTTCCAGAGGTCCTGAGTTCAATTCCTAGGAACCACATGATGGCTCACAACCATCTATATACTGGGATCTGATACTCTCTTCTGGCATGCAGGTATACAAGCAGACAGAGCACTCATATACATAAAATAAATAAATCTTAAAAAAGAAAGAAAGGGAGGAAGGAAGGAAGGAAGGAAGGAAGGAAGGAAGGAAGGAAGGAAGG